TATATATATATGTATAGCAACTCTTAGAACTTTTTCACTTGCAAAATGCATAGAAGAGCATCCTCTCTTTAAAAAACTAAAAACTAAACTAAATTGTGAGCTACAGTGAGCTGGTTAGCAGATGCTAAGTCAAATACTGATTATTTTTAAAGTGTACAATATTGGCCAAATACAATCTGTTGACGGATTAATTAAACTGTCTGTAGTGTGGATGTATAAGGATACATTAATAATTTGTATTATATAAATCATAACACTGTTGTAATCCCATCAGAATGATCAGATCGTGCAGAGTGTAAAGAGGCCCACCCCTGCTGAGCCATGGTCTGGGTGTGCATCCAGCTGTAAGTCAGCAGCAGCAGCAGGTATCCCACACCCACAGGTTGTGTGCACTCACCCAGTTTGAGACTCAGGCCTATTTTGGGCCGGTGTTCCTCTAAAGGCTGCAGGTCAGGAGTGTTCTCTCCTGGAATGATGATGCCACAGGGAGAGTCCACACCAGGTGTGTTTGGAGTCACGTTCCCACTGGCAGAGGAAACTGACGGAGCAGTAGTGATGGGACGCATTATGGGCTTGAGTTGAGGCTTGGCTTCCTGTGAGTCCTCACCATTGTGATAGTCATCTTCCTCCCCCTCATTAACATCATCATCATCATCGTCAGAATGCTGCTGGGGTCCCCGGGGCTTTGGTTCTACAGGCCTCTCTGACACTCTCTTGTTCCGTTCTCGATCACGATCACTGTCTCGGTCTCGTTCTCGGTCTCGTTCTCGGTCTCGGTTCCGGTCCCGGTCCTTATCCCTCACAGTTTTTTCCTTGTTTACCTCCTCCTCAGGTTCCAGGCTCAGCAGTAGCTGTCGCTTTCGCTCCGCTTCCTCCTCAATCTACAGAAATGTAAATGCAACAGAAAAAAGTGACTTCATGACGTTGTTGTGTTAAAGAAGGTTTTTTAAATCTAAACTTCCAGAAGTTTGTCAGTAAATCATTTTAAAAGACAGATGCAGGTGGTCCCACCCTCTGCAGCTCAGCATCTGGGTCAGGGTGACCCTCAGCCAGAAGTCTTTGTCTGATCTCTTCCAGCTCCTCCTTCTCTCTCTTTCGGTCTCGCTCATCCATTTCTACCTCCTTTTCTCTGTCGCGGAGTCGTTTCTGCAGAGCACTCCCCCTGAGGTTCAGAACAATAAAAACATTTAAAAAGAACAATGACAGCAGAAGAGCCCAGCTCCTGTTTRGCTTCAGACAATCACCTGTAGTATTTTGGATCATCCCTGTCGTCGTCATAATCTTCAAGGAATTCTTTCAGTCTTTTTGCTTCTTTCATCTGGTTTTAAACAGAAACAGTTTATATGTTTGTGTACCTCTATCAGGTTAGACCTGATTTTATAGGAGATTTAAAAAGTTTCACTCTAAGTGTGTCATATGTACCATTTCACGCCGCCTCTCTTCCTCCCTCTCTGTGTCTTTGCTGTAATCACGAGCTTTCTTCTTCTCTCGGATCTCCCAGTTTTTGAGACGCTTAAAACAAAAACACGTTTACAGACAAACACTGATTGACCTGAAACCTTTTCACCATTTATTAATCGTCTACATACTTCTTGGTACGCAGCCTCTTTGTCTCTCAATCTCCTTTCGAGTCTTCGCCGTTCGTACACATCTTCCTCATCTTCATCACGGTCACGTTTTTTATCCTCTCGAGTTCTCTCTCTGCAAAAGACAGGAAGTTATTCATCTATTTCATGCTTTTTAAAGACAGAAATCAAAACRTGTTTCTTTTAGTTCAGTCTGTTATTTTGGCCTCATTAGCAGAAACAGAGTTTTTTCAAGAACTACAGTTTGGTTTTGCCAGCTTATATAGAATTCAGTGTTTTCACTTCACTGTGTTTACTGAGCTAAACAGCTCAAATACTGAATTAGCTCAGAGTTAGCCTCTGGGTTTCTAAGTATGTGTTAAGATGTGATTCTTACAATGCTGAATTATAACACTGCTACGTTATAACTTTTCATGTTGTAGGTACCTCAACAACAGTGTGAAGAACTGAGGCTTGGATTAGATGTCAACACTCAGAGGGAGCTGACAGACTGTAGACAKGTACAGGAACTGGTCCTAACTGGGCACAACCTGCTCAATCGCCCCAAAATGGTGATGGACTCGATGACCCTTAGCAAAAAGTAGTATASGCAAGTATCCTTTAAGTATACTAATCATAAACTTAAAATAAAAGAGTATAATTCCAATTTACTTTTTATGTACTTATCTGAGATATACTTAACCAAGTTTATCTTAAACTATACTTGGCTTGTACTAAAACTAAAAAAATTGAGTGCCGCTGTCCCGGCCGTTAGATCTCCCTAATTGGCTTATGGGCAAGACCTAACGGGCCAAGCTGGCTTCTCCGGAGAGAAACTCAGCGTTACTTCCCAGTTCGGCATCCAGGAAGAAGTGTTCCTTCACTCAAAGGCRTCCGTGTTAGTAATAGAAGCGGACGACTTTGGTTCCGCCCTCAGGCTTAAGATGAGTCAGGAAAAGAAGAAAGATAAGACTTGCCAGCCAGGCGCCAGCCAAGGTTAAATTCTGTGGTTGTTCACAACAGAATATGATAACATTTCTTTTCAACTTTTCTTCTGGTAGAATCTAAGAGAAATCACTGCAAAACATTTATGATGATTAATTAAMATTTCTGTTTAAGTAATCAGTCTGAACCATTTGTTAGTCCAGATAAATGAAAGATTTTCTCAAGAAAAACTCAAAATTATATTACTGTGTTCACAGTAAAATAAACAGTGATTTATATAAAAACACAATGAAAACATGGTAATGATTTTCTCTGTGATTTTTTATACCATTAATTAATCTTTTAGGCACGATAAAAGAGTAGAAGTGATTCCACTTTCTTTTGACAGTCATCATGATTTAATAAATGCATAAACATTCTTAGTTAAACAACAAATGAATCATGAACAGAAAAGATTGTTCTGTCTATTATCAGAATAAGAGAACTGAGAAATTCTCTTAGGGTTGAAATGACCTGTCATGACCTAAACAGAGTTCAGTTTGTGACAGAGTTCCTGTCCTCTCGTCAGGCCTGTCCGAGGCCTGCTTCGAGGCAGTAAATCTTGTTTCTTCACTCAAGGTGACCCCTACAACTTAGTTTATATACTGTTCAATGTTTTGGCCAAGATAAACTTTAGCAGTACACTTTTCACACAGACTGGTTTATTTGTAGTATATTTCAAGATTAAACTAAAAGTGTACATAGAAGATTACTTTCAGTATTCTTTTGAGTATACTCTCATAAACTTGTTGTGGGCCAACTTAGTCCTAGATGTATACTTGTTAGTAAACTGCTAGTATACTTATATCATTGTACATAGTAAATAAAAGTACACTTAGGGACATATACTTGTATATATTTAGTATACTTCATGACAAGTACTTAAAGTATACTTCTTTTTGGTAAGTTTATAAACATTATAACTGTATACTTAAAGTATAAACTAAAAATGTCCCAATTTAGTATGAATGAGTATTAAATCAATATACTTTCACGTATACTACAAGTACATGGTGCCTAGTATACTTGATATTCTTAAACTTATACTCAAGTATACTTATTAAAATGAACTTGAAGTATACTAGTTTTTGCTAAGGGGATGGTCTGTGTGCTGCCTGCAGCATTGAATTAGAGCCTCTTTGCACTACTGATGCCACTCTTTAGAAGTCAAAGAAAAATAATTCTTGGGGAACATTTTATGGATGTGAGAAGCTGAGAACACTGAGCTTTTCTTACCTTGTTTCCTTCATTTAAGAGATGTGAAGGTTTGAATAAAGCTCAGTTTGTTTTTGGGAAGAGCACTGGGCCACCTTACTCTGCTCATATGGGTTTTTATCTATCCCTACTCACTGTCACCATACTCTAATGTTTTTGTTAAGATTTTAAGTTAAAGAATGAATTCAAATAAACAAAATATAAAACATTTCTTTCTTTTATGAACTTAAAAAGAATATAGAAAAAAATATGACTAAAACATGGTTCCATTTGCACTGTAATAAATCTTAAAGCCAACCAATAAAATAGAAATCATTGGKCTGCCACACACAGGGGCAGTGTGTTGTGGGAACCTAGACAATTCACATCATTAAAGCACACAGAGTGCACCAGGCTGAGGGGCTAATACCACACATCAACTTTAAAATTAAACCTTTATATTTGTTTCTTTTCTACCAAAATGATTGAATAATTTCTTAGGCAATAAATCTGTCTTTATTATAAGATTTATGGTTGTATATTGCAAAAATAAATACACCTGGCCAAAAAATAAATAAAGTTGCCACCAGAAAAAAAGGTCACACCCTCTAATATTTCATTGGACCACCTTTAGCTTTGATTACACACATTCTGTGTGGCATTGTGTGATCAGCTTCTACAGCGTCACCAGATTTATTTCATCCAGTGTTGCATTGATGATGGTAGAGTCTGACCTTCTCCACATCTCAAAGATTCTCAGTGGGGTTCAGGTCTGGACTCTGTGGAGCCAATCCATGTGTGAAAATGATGTCTCGCTCCCTGAACCACTCTTTCACAATAAGAGCCTGATGAATCCAGGTGCTGTTATGTTGGAACAAGTCTGTTCCATGAGGGAAGCAACAATCATTGATGAATCACCTGGTCATTCAGTAGATTCAGGTAGTCAGCTGACCTCATTCTTTGATCTGAACCTGGACCTGACCACCTGCAGACACCCCACATCATAGACCACTTGTTTTTGTCCAGGCAGTGCAGTTTCATCACAGTGACGTGTCAAACAAAGCCCCAGTACTGAGTCAGAGCCCAGTGTGACTGACCTGGACTTGCTGCGAGCTTCACTGATGTCTCGACTCCTCTCCCGCTCCTTAGTCCTCTCACGTTCTCGATCTCTCTCACGTTCACGTTCTCTGTCCCGCTCCTTTTCTTTCTCTCGCTCCCTCTCCTTCTCCTTCTCACGGTCGCGGCGCTCCCTCTCTCGCTCCCGCTCTTTGTCTCTCTCCCTCCTCTCTCTCTCCAGCTCCAGTCGCTCCTTTTCCTTCTTGCCTTTCTCCTCTTCCAGTTTCTGCAGGAGTCCGACAGGAGAAACATGGACATGGTCACTCAGTGCTGCTTATTACAGCATGTCCTGATTAGGACAGGTTCTCATACTACCAGGACTCATGGACGCTTCAAGTCAGGAAGTCTTTCTGGGCTTGTAGTTCCACCAGGAGGAGTGGTTCACTATTAGAGAAGCTTTGATGTAAAACAGCCCACTTCAGGTCACACTTGTTTGAAACCAAAACCATTCTTGACACACCTGAAGAACTAAAGTAATAAAGTGTTGCAGGAGGAGTGAAAGTTAAAACCATCCACCAGAACATCATCTCTGGTGTTTTAACTTTATTTTTGTCTGCATTAACCACACAAAAATAATTCTGTTACTTCAAAATGTACAAATTACTGTGTTCCAAAATTTCTTCACTTACTGTACATTTGTTGCCCCAGAGAGAGGATGAAAGGTTTTGCCCATCATTACCACAGTCTGTAAATGTCTAGACCTGAGGAGACCAGTTGTTGGAGATTTGGGACAGAATTTCACGTCTGATTAAAGATTTCAGCTGTTCAACTTGCAGTCATTGTGCAAGAGGCAGGACACATCCTGGACAGGTCTCCAGTCCATCGCAGGGACACACAACCAATCCCAGTCTCACTCACACGTAGGGACAGTTTAGAGTTATCAMTTAAACTAATGTTTTTGGTTTGTGGGAGGAAACTGAAGTACCTGCTGGGGGAGAACATCTGCCCTGAAAAATGTTCACACCCATTAAAACTTTTCCACATTTTGTCAAATAACTTCCACACAAATCAAAGTCTTTTACTGGGGTCTTCTGTGGCAGATCAACACAAAGCAGAACATAAATGCAAACTGGTCAATCAAAACCTATTTATGTGCTAGAATGGTCCAGTCCAAGTCCAGACCTGAATCCAACTGAGGATTTGTAGCAGGATTGAATCTGCTGTTCACAGATTAACTGACTGGACGAGTATATCATACACGAGACATTAGAGTCCATCAACACTGTAGCAAGTCACAAGTTCTACAGAGTCCAAAGCATCAGCAGAAGTTGTGGAAGTGAAATGCAAATGGGTTATTTATCTACACTGGAGCTTGAAATGTGTGCAAATATGGAGCCAATGAGCTTCCAGAAACCACTTGTGATCAAACATTTATGAACCCCAGAAGAGCATCATGACTCATGTTCAGTAGCTCAGTTTAAGAGCCATATGATGTAGACCTTATGATTGTGAAAATAAGTTGTTTAAAAAGATTATCTTCTGAATGTTGAAGCTTTAAAAATAACCTATAATGCTCAAAGTTAAAGGTATCAATTCAGAAATTAACCACAGTTTTATTCTCAACGTTATAAAGTGAATTACCCTGTAGTGCACTAAAAAGTAGAGCTGAACAACATATTGAAAATTTATTGTCAATAAGATAACAACCTGTGCAATAAGCATTTCGCAAAAAACTGTACAAACTGCAATAAATATTTGGCTCAAATTTTTGCATTTATTTGTTTTGTCACGTATTTGACCAATTGGATGGATCACAATAATATTTAAAAAATCATGCTGGAATTGAAATTATTATTTTTTAATGTTCTGAACCCAGAGCAAAAAGACAACAAGCCTACAGACTTATGTATTTATTCATTTATCACAAGTCATTTTGTCATTGCATAATTAAGCACTGGTACTGCACATCGCAGGATTTCCTAATATTGTGCAGCCCTACTAAAAAGCACACTTAAGAAGAAGGTGCACCTGGACCAGTCCTGGACCAGTCCTGGACCAGTC